ACTACGTGGGAGTCCAGCGACATAGACATTACGCTAACCACTGGTTCCTCCCATATTAAAATTTCTGAGAATGAGTCACACAAAAGAGGAAATAACCAAGGTTTGAAGGAGTTCAGGAGCATAGTAAGACAGTTTGAATTAGAGCATCAAGGCCAATCTTTGGAAGCTAGTGCTGGACACTGCTACTCTATAGGCTGAGAAAAACTGAAGGAAAACCTGAGCTTGCAGCCAGGTCAGTGTGGGCAATGTAGCAAGAGCAGAGAGAGTAGAATGTAGTGTTGCCTTCTGTGGTTCCAGCTATTCAGGGGGTTGAGGCATGAAGATCATGATATAGTGAGACTATGTCTAAAATACCACACATATATACATGCACACAGTAATGATTTAAAAAGAATCAGAGCAGTCAAATGCTTGTGTGGAGACTTCACTAGTGGAGAGAGATTGGGAATTACATGTTTCCTCAATAGAACCAGAGCACAGTATCCCATAGGGCAGAAGCTTTATTATGTCATAATTACTCCTTGCATGCCCTCAATTAACAATGCACAGATTGAGGTCATTGTGCACTTAAAGCAAGTCTTCATACAAACTCTTCCTCCCCTCAAATGTGTTAATACTCCTGAAATGTTTTAGCCTTTGGCATCTAGGTTTGAGCATCCTCAGCTGTTTAGGGGAGAATATCTTCTGGTTCTTACTTATTGAGCTGATATGACACATCTGTTTTCATATGTGTCTGCTGTGTCCTCATGGACAAGCCCAAATAATTAACCTGGCTTGAGAGTGTTTATGCTCTCTTGGTTTGGTTTAGCATTGATCACTTCTTACAAAAGGCCTATTGGGACCAAGCTAGGAATGCATCAGGGTAGAGTTGTTTTGAAAGTCCCCTGAGAACTTGCCCTTTGGCAATCAAATTTTCTACAGATTGCATCCCTCTACCAGCTACCAGTGTGGCTTGTATAAGTTATATAACCTGAGACTAGCCAGTTACCATTCTTCACCCTGAACCTCTGTGTCTTTATCTGAAAAATGAAAAGACTAGAAAAGATGATTTTTGTGGTTCTTTCAGCTCTAAGATATGAGGATTTGATAATTCCCTACTAGTAAAGTGAGATTTTTTTTTTACATGCACAATTAGTTTGTCC